GGGATGTAAGTGCAGCGTACTCATTGATAAGGCAACTGCTTGCTGTGGGTGCAACAGTGATATGCACTTCCTGACCCCTGGTACCACGTTTTCAAAGAAACCACATTTGCTGCCTTCGCATGTCCACTTGTGAACGCTGCGATGCACATGGAGCCCTGTAGCTCTTAGAGCATCATAGTCTTTCCAGACATCTGCTAGCATACCTTGTCCGCCGTAGCCTGGATCAGCAGATGCATGTATTCCAAGTGGGCACTGTCTTCAGTCTGGCATCGTGTTGGCACTCTTCTTCCGATTGGGCTCACACACACTCTTTGGCATTTCTATTTAACAAAAGGAAATACAATGTCCCTTGACACTTGACAGTCCACAGTGACTCAGGTAGGCACTACCAGCAGGTGTACTTCTCTACTGGATGCTGTTTTGGGAGACAGACTGGGGGCGGGAGGAGGAGCAGATCCATCCTAGGACCCCCTGGACTTCTAAACAGCCCCTAACAATCTCAGAGCCTGCAACTAAGCCCAGCCTGAACCATGTAGGAGAGGTCACTTCTGTCAGCCTGCACATGGGAGAAAGCGGCCAGCAGAGGCTCTGAACTCCAATCTTCTCATTCATACTCTGAAGACACTCCACATCTTCTAGAAGCTTTTCACTGCTTACTTAATTGGCGCATCTCATACAAGTATGCCTCCTAATTCGGACAAATATTTCCTGATACTATGAGCTTATGTATTAATTTGGGAGGTATTTCTATTGAATAACATTTAGTAATAGTTAAAAATAAATAACAATAATGAAAAAAAAGTTGTCTAATTAGGCAAGCCTAAGTTTTTTCAGAAACTAATCTGATGATACTTGTAAGTAAAACAGGCTGATAAAGGACAGACTCATTCCGAAGCTGAGGCTAACGGGCCAATGGGCCACTGATGGGCTGTCTGATAGTGGAGGAAGTTGGAGGTTGGCGGGTCATAGATGTTGTCCTGGAGTGGCTTCCTGGAGCAGAAACGTGGTGAACGCTTCCCCAGCCCCGGCTCTTTGAGACATGCTGCCACCACCTGGGCAACAAGTACTTTGGAAGTACAGAGAGATTTTAGTTGTTATTGCCAGGTAACCAATGCAGCATCAAAAACCACACTTCTATCTTAGAAAATTAGCATTTTTAGGTATGTATTCAGACATGAAAAAAAGGAAGGTTTTGTCTCTGTGTTTAGGATGCTCTTCTTTCCAAGCCTCTGGTTTCTTCTCTGTGGGCTTGGTCTCAGGACTGGTAACATCCAGCTCAGTACTTGGTACACAGTCAAGACTTAATAAGCAGATTTTACAGAATGAGGGCGGATGGCTAAGATGCTCACATTCCACACAGGGGTGCCCACAGCGGGTACCTTGCTTGTTCCAGCTTCCCACTAACGCAGTCCTTGGGAGGAAGTGGGAATGGGTCAAGTAACTGGGTTCCTGGATTCTGTTCCAGGATCCTGGCTTTAGACAGGCCTGTGCCTTAATACTTGTGGGCATCAGGAGAGTGAACTTTTGGGTGGGATTTCTTTCTCTCTCTCAAATAAACAAAATTTAAAATATTCTTCCATATGATCTTTGAAATATTACTTCGGTTGGGCCTGGCATGATAGCCTAGGGGCTAAAGTCCTCGCCTTGTATCAGCTGGGATGCCTTGTGGGCACTGGTTCACATCCTGGCTGCTCCCAGTTCCCACCAACTCCCTGCTTATGGCCTGGGAAAGCAGTTGAGGATGGCCCAAAGCCTTGGGACCCTGCCCCTGTGTGGAAGACCTGGAAGAAGCTCCTGGCTAACTTTGGATTGGCTCAGCTCTAGCCATTGTGGTCACTTGGCCACTCTGTCTCTCCTTCTATCTGTAGATCTGCCTTTCCAATAAAACAAAAAAATCTTAAAGAAATATTGCCAAGGTAAAATTACTCTGTAAAATCATGTAACTGGATAGGCCCGGTGCGGTGGCGCAAGTGGTTAAGGTCCTCGCCTGGCACGCCCAGGATCCCATATGGGCGCCGGTTCTATCCCAGGCAGCCCCGCATCCCTTCCAGCTCCCTGCCTGTGGCCCAGGAAAGCAGCTGAGGATGGCCCAAAGCTTTGGGAACCTGCACCCGCGTGGGAGACCCAGAAGAGGCTCCTGGCTTTGGATCGGCATAGCATCGGCCATTGCGCTCACTTGGGGAGTGAATCATTGGACGGAAGATCTTCCTCTCTGTCTCTCCTCTCTGTATATCCGCCTTTCCAATAAAAAAATAATAAAAATAAATCTTTTAAAAAAGTCATGTAACTGGAGCTGGTATGTGGCATAACAGATCAAGCCATTGCCTGCAATGCTGGCACCATTTGGGTGGCAGTTTGAATCCCTGCTGCCCCACATCAGACCTAACTCCTTGTGAATGTACCTGGAAAGGCAACAGAAGACACATCAAGTGCTTCAGCATTATCACCCACGTGGGAGAGCCAGGTGAAGTTTCTAGCTTTGGCCTTGTCCAGCTCCAGCCAGTGCATCTATTCGGGGAGTGAATCAGTGGAGGGAAGAATTCTATCTCTCCCTCTCTCTATTAACTCTGTCTTTCAAATAGATAAAATGAATCTTTAAATCTCGGAGTTTGCTCACAGAATGCCCACAACAGCCAGGAATGTGCTGGGCTGGCACGAGGCACTCAGCATTCTAATCTGGTTCTGCTGCACGCTGGGAGGGGCAGGGACTCAAGCCACCACCCGCCAACTCCCAGGATGCACACCCGCCAACTCACAGGATGCACAGGAGCAACAACCCAAGTCCGAAGCGGCAATGGGACCAGAAGCTGCACACTTCAACACAAGAGGCCCATGTCCCTCAAAAGTACATCTTCACTTTTGTGCCAAAACATGTTGCTAAAGAGAAACCCAATTAAGGATCTGTTCAAATACAGATCTAAAGAAAACGGGCAATGATGCTTCTTCTAAGTCGCTATGCTGTTGTTGATGCAAAAGTCAGAAAAACGGCTGAATCTGTTCAGGTTAGGACTTCTGGAGTTGACAAGGCATCAGAGTTCACCCAGTGTGTGGAAGAGGAAAGGGGTTCTGAGGGATTTATCAGAAATTTCAGCGCTATGCACAATGGCTCAATTGACTACCCCTTTCAAATGCTCCACTTCCATCCTGCTTGTGGACTGTGAGAGCAGTGGAAGATGGCCCAAGCCTTGGAACCCTGCACTCAAACAGGAGACCTGGGCGAAGCTCCTGGCTTCTAGCTTTGGATTGGCACAGCTCTGGCTTGTTGAGGCCGTTTGGGGAGCCAGTGGATGGAAGCTCTTTCTTTTTCTTCTTCTCTCTGTAAATCTGATCTGCCTTTCCAATAAAAATAAATAAATCTTTAAAAACAAAAAAAGAAAATTAAGGCAAATACTGAGACAAGTCCTGTGAGCTTCAGCTCCCAAGTTCACACAGGCTGCGTACAAAGTAGCCTTTAGGATTCCTACTTGTCCAGACAGTGGCTTTTAGTGAGGCTAGAGGCCAGTGTGGAGTACTCCTGGTAATCCCTACCCACGCCTGGGCTTGCAGCCTGCTCTGTAACTAGAAGCTAAATCAGTGAAATCAGATTGTCAGACACAAGGTCTAGATGACCAGAGAGCTCCCCTACAGAGGTTTCTAACTTGGGTGCCTTTTCTGCCTGCCCAAGAAACCTACGCTGTTAACCTGAGAGATCCTAAGGCAACGGTGAAAATAAAGCACGCAGACTCTGGCCTCCGGAAAGGAGAGTGTGACATGAACACACTCAGATCCCAACGTGGGCTCATCACTCCGGAGATTGAAACACCACAGTGACTTGTAGCAAGTTTTCTGTGCATACAAGCCCGGGATGGAGACCTGCTACCACCGGTACAGGCTAGGTCTTGGCAGCACAGACTTCGAAAATCATCATGCAGGCTTCAAACAAGCGTGAGTAAGACAAATGCTGGTAATACAACACACAAACATGAACAGCCCAAGGAACAGTATTCTAGATCGTCAGATTATCTGCCAAAAGCCTGTTTCCCGGTAAATAATAGTTACTGTTGTTATACCTAAATAGTTACACATGCCCCAGCTTGCTTTTGACAGAACACTCTAGGGTCTTTTAAAGAATAATAATAAAAGAACAACCCTGCTTTATTTGGCATGCAACAGTAACGAGGTCTTGCGACACCAGCCAGAGGTAGTCAAATAGAACAGTTCATGCAAAGCAATCGCAAAAATCTGGTCACCAACCAACACAGAGCTCATCTTGCAGTTCCTGAAGACTAGAACCCAGTATTAATGCACCCTTTCTGCGTGTTGACTTTTGTGTGCATGGAATGAACAAGTGCCTCTGTGGGAACTTTACTTTGGCAGCTCAATTATTATCAAGTTTACTTTGGGCAAGTATCGATCCTTCTTTTGCGAAATGAGTCGGGTTCTTAATTTAAAAACAAACCAACAACAGAAAGCCCATTTTTTACGGCTTGGCTGCGCTTCCCCTTCGGGTGCCAGGGTTCCGATGCGGCTCAGAAGCGGCTTTGTTTGTTTTATGCAGGGATTTCAGCCAGTCACGAGAAGGGATCACCCGAACCAGGATCCCTGAGCAGTCCCTAGGTGACCATCACCTTGTTTGTGGAGGGGCCGGGGATCAACTCCTTCCTGGCTGCCGCTCTGGGGTCCGAGCTGCCCAGAGACCTCCACGCACCACACAGGACCCCGCTCCCCGCGGCCTCACCTGCCGCTCCCCGCCAATGTCTGCGCGGGGCCGGGTCCCTCCCCGCTGCCCTCCCGGTCCACGTCCGGAGACCCCCAAGGAGCCACGGCGCCGCCGGAACTGGCCCCCTCGACTTCCTCACACCCAGTTCCCTCCCGAGCTGGGTCGGTCTGTGGGCGGGACGCGAAGGCCGCGGCTTCCGTCTTCCTGCTTCCGGCCGGGCGGTGAGTGGGGCGCGGGAGTCCGAGCCTCGGGGGCCGTGTAGTGGGAGCCCTGGGGCCGGCCCTTGGCGGTGGATCTGTCCCGGTGCGGAGCGCAGCGGGCCCGGGCGCTGGCTGGCGTCGCCGGGGTCCCCCCCGCACCCGCAGGAACGCTCGGCTGCGGGAGGAGCCCCGCGGGGCCCCGAGTCTTGCAGGCCGAGGGGCGGCGGTGAGCGCGGCCCCGGGGGGGTCGGAGAGGGAGCCGGGAATTGGGGTGCTGGTCCCGGGGCCCCGCAGGGAGCCCATCTGCCGCTCTGGGGCGGGAGAAACGGAGGCTGCACGCTTGGGTGGGACGTGGAGGCGCACGGGAGCTTTTGGTTTCCTCCTCGTGTTCTTAGTAGAGATTTTTGCCTTCCAACGGGTCCCTGGCCCCTGCGTTACCCCTCTCTCTTCCTTTGCAAAGTTCCGTTGCTTATCTCAGAAACTTGTACTTGTTAATTCATTCCTGGTCTGAATTAGTTGGAGAAAACTCCATCTCACACGACCCCCTTTCTGCTCTATGGTGCCTGCGTAGGAAGTCCGGAGCAAGATGTCTAATTAAGTGGGAGGACCCTCGGTTGTGTTTTATTTCTTGAAGCAGCTACGGAAAACTGCAAAACTGGTGACAGTTCCCTTGAGGGGATGGGATTGTGGGGCTGTTTAAGTCCCTTTGGTCCTTATTTTTCTATAAAGGACACAGATTGTGGAGTAGACCAGGTAACTGCCTGGTCTACCGAGGTGTAAGGGAAGTGGTTGACTTTATAGTAAGTGAATGGCAGCAACTTTTTCAGCATAAGAATTCTGGATAATGGATACACTGTGTACCTTCTTGCCACTGTTTTTGTGTTTATGCTACTGAGTTCCATAGGTCATTTTCTTCTTGAAACACTTGAGTTCCAGGAATAGAGATTTCTTCCAGGGTGTTGGCAGTTATAAAAGTCAAATAAGGGGCAAACATTTAAATGCTTATCATGGACAGGCTGTTTTACCTGTCAGTTTGCATAGATAACATTGAGAGTTTGCAGTGTTACACTTTATGACACGTAGGCCTGCTTTGCTCTTTCAGCTCAAAAGCTACAGTGCGAATCTCGGAAGTGTACAGTGGGACCAGGGACGACAAGCAGCGGAGGTCATCTCAAACTGGCAGATGACCCCAGGGCAGAGGTAGACACCACCACTCAAGCCTAAGGTAGATTTTCTTTTTAATCTCAGCTGAACAGCCGTTTCATATGCAGGTATTCTAATTCTCCAACTTGAAGAGGAGCTGACAGAGACACTCTGGGGTCCTCCTCACTGGCCACCTGATGTCCCTGGCAGCTCGAAAGGGTGCTTTCCTCGCTTTATATGCTTATTTGAGTAGAGGTCCTCAAAGCACGTGGCCTGTTCTTTATATGGGAACTATGCATGTGGCTATTAGGATGGCCTGCCTACCCTCTCCCTCCACTCCTGGAAATAGCCACCGTAACCGGTTTTTCTGTGAGAGCATTTCACATGGTCAAGTAGTGCTTTTGTGATAGTACTGCGTGGTCCTAAGGAGGCGTAAATGAATGACAGGATTCAGTTTCCTGAAATGAACGTGTAAAACTAAGAATCTTTGAAAAGTCTGCTGCTAGCTACAGTTTGCCTTGAATGTAGGAAGCAGGTGAGAGTGCATACCCTGGATGCCACACTCCAGGCAGCTCTGTCTTCCACAGCTCGATATTTTAAGGTGTTGATTATTTCCTCCTGGAGCTATCAGTCGGGGTTAAAATAGTTAAGAAACATAATGAAATTCTGCCTCCACTGGTGTCTGGTGTACCACTTTCAAAATATGATTAGCCACATATCCTTTGTCTTGTTTTCCTTTTTCTCCCCTTAAGTCTGCTGCAGCCATGCTGGACATAAAGGCCTGGGCCGAGTATGTGGTGGAGTGGGCCGCCAAGGACCCCTACGGCTTCCTCACCACCGTCATCTTGGCCCTCACGCCTCTGCTGCTGGCAAGCGCAGTCCTCTCCTGGAAACTGGCCAAGATGATTGAAGCCAGGGAGAAGGAGCAGAAGAAGAAACAGAAACGCCAAGAAAATATTGCAAGAGCCAAGCGACCGAAGAAGGACTGACAACTTGAGCGGGCTCTGAAGCCAGAGGGAAATCACTGGAAAACCGAAGCCGCTTCGGAAGGCCCTGCTGGGGTTCCTCTGGATGGGACGCGTTCAATACATAAACCAGATCTGAACGGACAGAATGCCTGACCTCAGCACCTAGTCAGCTTTCAGGCGTGGGTGTGTGTTGGCATCTGTCCCCAACTGCTGCAAATTAGCATCTGTATCCAAATAGAGTATCCCTAATCTGAAGTGCTAAAAGACGAAATATTCGGAGCATAGACATGAAGCCACAAGTGGAAGATTCCACACCTGACTTCATGAGGTGTGTCACAGTCAAAACACAGGCAACCTAAAAATACTGTATAAATTGACTTTCTGGCTAGTGTACAGCTTGTGTGAAACATGAATGAATTTCATGTCCTGGCTTGGATCGCATATATTATGGATATGTAGACATTTTCAAATCCCAAAGAATTTGCAATCTGAAACACTTCTGGTCCCAAGCATCTCGGGTAAGGGATACTCAAACTGTAGCCCCCGTTTTCTGTAACTGACGCTGTCATTTGCCATTCTGTGGTTTAGGCACTAAAATGAAGCATCCTGGGAAGTGAAACATAAGTTGTGAACTCTACTTGCTGCTGTAAAATGGGCCCTGTTCTGCACCCATGCTATTAACAATGAGAAACAGCTCTCTTCTGAGGTGAAAAATGTGCTTTGGCTTATAAGAAACATAGCAGTTAGTCACATCTTGTATTACTATTGCTTATTTCTTAGAGTAAGATCATTTCTGGGCCTCAGAGTACTTGATTCTCTGCCCTGCGTTTTTCTGATTCCGGTCTTGGAGCCAACTGGTAATGAACACATTCTGCATTTTATAAAGATTTCTCAATATCTTGACCATAAAATACCACCTACTACTATACAAATTTTTGTACTTCTGAACACTGCCATTTTCATAGAGGTGAGTTGTTGAGAAGAGTAACAGTATGGTTAAAGCTTAGAGTAAAATGCAAACGCTACAGTTTGAAACCATTTGGGAGGGAGGCCTTTTAAAATCACAGAAAATGCATATTACTGGAAAAAACTATGCATGGATTTAAAAATATTTTTGCACCACAAATCACTTATCTTTTAATTCCAATTTTTTGTCATGAACTATCTGAAGCAGTTCCGTATTCTTGTGCCTAACTATAGCTGTGAAATGGTTGAAATGTCTTGTCAGCCATGATTGTACAAATTCCATTTTAACTCAAATGATTGTGAAGTGTACTGTACCTTTCAAACAGGTTTGAGATGAAAATTAAAATTTCATATTTCTTTTAGAGAACTCTTAAAGAGTTAACAATTAAGTCATACTTCATAAGTGGCAAAACATGCTTAAAATTTTGAAAAAATTTGTGTATAATAATTATTGCTTTGGAGAGGATAAATTATGTCCAGATGAGAATGGGCTATATGTTACAATGACTACAGAGCTAGACAATATTTCAGTTATGCGAGGTAGCAAAAATACTATTATTTTAAACCAAGATACATGGCTTTTCTAAATGCCTGGTCTGGTAACTTCATTCACTGTCAGTATGTAGTAGCTTATTAAAGTCTCCTTATAGTCCAGTAGTGAGTTTTCAGTTACAAAAAATGGTCCACTGTCTCTAATTTAAAAATAAGCTAGATATTGAAATAAAGAATTGTTTTTTATACAGAAATCTTTGTGGGATTTTGGGGGGGTGTGGGGAGGGATTGGAGTTAGATTTGTTAAGCAAGTAGACTTTGTGAAGAATTACAAATTCCAGTTAGAGCTAAATATCCTTGCAAAAGACTTTCTTTTTTTTTATTTGACTACCTGAAAACCCCTGAGAATGTTTGTGAACCAGTTTGAGTATTTAGTGCTGTTTTGTTAGTTTATCAGTTCCTTTGTGCAGTGTAATCAACACATTGCAACTCTAGGGACTGAAAAAATGCAGTGGGTGGTTATGAATTGTTCAGGTGATGGCATAGGATATGCTTTTTATCTTATTGAATTTAAAACTTGCTTAACAAAACTACTGGCCCCCAGGCCAGAATAGTGGTTTAGCAAGCCAAGCCTCTACCTAAGGCCAAGGTATCCCACATGGGCACCGTTTTAAATTCAGGCTGCACCACTTCCGATCCAGTTCCCTGTTTGTGGCCTGGGAAAGCAGTAGAAGCTGGCCCAAGTCCATGTGCACATGCACTCATGTGGGAGACCTGGAAGCTCATGGCTCCTGGGCCAGCCCCTCTTGGGGAGTGAACCAGCAGATGGATGATTCTTTGGTGAAGTCTGAAGTACTTGAATGTTATGAGGGTATGTGGTCAAGCAGTTAGTGCTACTCACACACTAAGTTGGAAACAAAGGGTATAATCAGCATAACACTCAGTTACCTACCAGAGCAGTGTTTTCTTTGCTTCTGTGGGGTTTTACCTTGGTTTCAAAGCCTAATATGTTAATTTTAAGTGTTCTTTATAGGCCATATTTTTGTTTTGTTTTGTTTTTCAAAAATTTATTTACTTGAAAGATTTTCCTTCCCTGGGTTTATCCCCTCCAAAGGTACTAACCGTTGGTGCTGGGCCAGACTGATGCCAGGAGCAAGGTGCTCCATCTGGATCTCCCCTGGGCATGGCAGGAAGTCACTTCCTTGTGGTGTCACCTGCTCTCTCCCAGGTACAGGAGCTGGGAGCTGGGCCGAAAGTGCAGTAGCCGGGGACTTGAACTGGACATTTAATGTGAGGCCTGGTGTCTCAAGTAGTGAGGGGCTTCATGTGCTGCCTGCCTAAGTGTTCTTTGTACAGTCTTTGGAGTAGCCAGGATTGCAGCCAGGCACTTGGATTGCAGATGTGGCCATTTCACTTGGGACTTAACATCACAGGGCCCCTAGAACCTTTTATACATGTCAAGGTCAATATTTGTATGAAAGTGGACAGATATGGGATCAAATAGAAACTGTTCTGGGGTTTGGGATTCTTTGGAAAGATGCATCTTTTCTCACTATAACAAATAGTACCTTTGTTGGAAAAATCCCATTGATACCCAGAATACTACTTTTTTTTTTAAAGATTTATTTTTATTATTTTTTTATTGGAAAGGCGGATATACAGAGAGGAGAGACAGAGAGGAAGATCTTCCGTCCGATGATTCACTCCCCAAGTGAGCGCAACGGGCCAATACTATGCCGGTCCGAAGCCAGGAGCCAGGAACTTCCTCCGGGTCTCCCACGCGGGTGCAGGGTCCCAAAGCTTTGGGCCATCCTCGACTGCTTTCCCAGGCCACAGGCAGGGAGCTGGAAGGGAAGCGGGGCTGCCGGGATTAGAACCGGCGCCCATATGGGATCCCGGGCATGCAAGGCGAGGACCTTTAACCACTTGCGCCACCGCGCCGGGCCCCAGAATACTACTTTTAAAAGATGCCTGCATGTTTGATTAACACCATCAATTACCTTTCTATACCTGGGTTGTTTTTTGGGGGGGAGGGAAGGAGATTGTACCAAAAACAAAGGTTTGTGTGTGGAAATTTGAGCTACACTGTCCACCCACATGACCAAATTTCAGCATGATACTACCACTGTCCCACTGTATAAGACCATTTTAAATCACCATTTCTTACAGTAAGTGAACTGAATGTCAGTACAGCAAGCTGGAAACCCAAAGTTGAAACAAAGCTCACACATTGCTATTCTCACTGCTTCCTTCATTACATGCCAAGTAAAGGAAGTGACAAAGGCCACTTACTTTACCTCTCACCTGATTCTAAGAGGAAATGGGATCTTATTTAGAAATGCTGGCACCTGTTATAGAGTCAAGATTATTTACTTAGTGTCTGGAATAAACGAGGACATGTTCTGCCTTTCTCAAATAAGAGATTTCATGGTCAAATATCAAAAACTGGAAACACAAGTAAGACTTAGGCAAGCTTCTTTCTGCATATCTTGGAGTCTTGATTTGACTACAGCTGACTCCCTTTTTACTCAAAAACTCCAATTTGAAAAATGCCTGATTGGGATGCTGCAGGGCTTGGGTCACCTGGTCTGGGTCTCTTGACCCAACTATGCACTGGGCACCAGGTTCGTGACTTCCGGGAGTGAGGGGTCCAACAGGGCCTGGGTTGTTTGGTCTGGGTCCTTGGGCCTGCTTTCATGACGGGTACTGGATTCGTGAGCCCTGGGGGACAGGGGATCCAGTGGGATCCGTGTTGCCAGGCCCAGGTTCCAGTGCCCACCTGCGAGGTAGGTGCTGGGTCTGTGAGCCATGAGGGCAGGGGATCCAGCAGGGCCTGGATTGCTTGGCTGAGGTCCTTGGGCCCGCCCACAAGGTGAGAACACATCCTCCTCAGTGGAAAAGGTTGAGTAGTGGACAGGAGGCCCTGATGCACATGGAAAATATGAAAGCATGTTGAGTACCAACAGAATAAATTGGACAACTACCCCAGCTGAACGCTGACAGCAAAAATCTGGGTGAATGGAGTCTTAAGGTCAACCATGTCAGATAGTGGACATTGGGAGGGCTTCCTAATCCTTGGATCAGTGAGACTGAAGCATTTCAGAACTATCCAAACTGCTGGGCAGAACTCTTGAGCATGAACCACTTTGGGACCCTGGGTTGATTTAGGTGGCTGTTCCCCATCCCCAGGTACTGGGGCAGTTGGGAGGCTGGGCATGACTTTTATCTCTACCCTTTCCCCCAGAAACAGGAAGAAATAGAAAATTTTGGAAACAATGATCTCACCCACCTTTCCCTAACCCTTGATCCTTCTCACCCTGGTCAACTATGTAAACATCATCAAAAATAAAGAATTAAAAAATAACAATAAACTGAAAAGGCCTGATCTAAATAAATTCAGTATACATTTTAACTGTGTGGTTTATGAGACAATGTGTGGTACTGATCCAAGGCAATTAAGAAATAAATGACAGGCAGAAATCTCCTAATAGATAATTGGCTAAAATACACAATTGAACCTAAAAGTCAAACATTTTCACATTTTCTTTAGGTGGGCGGTTGGTATACTGTTAGCAGAGGAGTGTAGAGAGGATTTGCCTCTAACAAAGCTCTTAGGAAGTGGCCAACATATTGGCTCAACTGTCTATTCCTCCACCTTCAAGTGCTGGCATCCCAAAAGGGTGCCACTGTGTGTCCAGCTGCTCCACTTCCCATCCAGCTCCCTGCTTGTGTCCTGGGATAGCAGTGAAGGATGGCCCAAAGCCATGGAATCCTGTGCAGGGTTTCCCCCAGATTCCTCTAGTATCCCGTTGCCAGAAGAGGTGAACCTGCTGCCCGCCATCCAGCTTCTGGTGCGCGACAGACAGATGGATAAGGGGTTCTGTCTAAGCAGTTCCGATTTATTTGGGAAGTACAAATTCTTATATAGGGTAACGAACAGCCTCAGGCCAGGAATTCCAGGAGCGGAGAAACTAGGAGCCAATTACTAGGTGCATGACTGCGGAAGCCACCTCCTAAAGGCCAGGGGTAGGTGAGCGAAATAGTCCTGGCCAATCAGTCTTTCTTTGAAACAACACGACCCCCGCCCTGGTTCATGTCTAGGGTTCTGTCCTTGGCCACCATCTTGCTCGCCACGTGTAAACCAGTGACCTTGACTGTTAGTCGCCATTTTGTTGACTTAGTGACCTTTTAGCCCCTGAGTCCCACATCCTATGTGGGACTTGGACGAAGCTTCTGTTTCCTGGCTTCAGATAGGCTCAGCAATGGTCACTTGGGGAGTGAACCAGTGGATTGAAGGCCTTTCTCTCTGTCCCTCCTTCTCTGTAAATCGGCTTTCCAATCAATCAATCAATCAATCTTTTTAAAAAGCACTTTTGGTAATTACACACAAATTTTTTTAAAAGCTTGTAAATGTCTGAGATTCAGGATTCAAAATATGGCAGATGAGCTAATATTTAATATTTAGTATCATAATTCTGCTTTGCTCATGTCTGCCCTAAAAGCCAAACTTTTTAAAAGTTATTTAGGAAGGCAATTCTTAATTAGATCAAGACTGTACTTCAGTGTTTATATAGAACATGTAGCTGTTGTCAGGCTACATGGCAGTGCAGCCAGTCAGCCGACATGTTAGTCCGCTGGAAGGGAGTAAGGAAGCACTGTGAGAAACCTCTCCACCTCCTGAAATCACCACCAAGTGCATGCTCTGACATCGTGGGCCACCACTGTCACTTTAACACCAGATGATTTCCTGCAAGGATTTGGTTTTGGCTAAGATTTTCCTTTGTTGCTTATGCAAAGTTGATAGCTAAAAATGAAAACTGTAAAAGGAAAGTCAAGATTAATGTAAATTTCACCATATGATAAGATATTTATAAACGGGCTCTAGGCAAACATTTGCAAAACGCATATACATATATATGGTGCAATTAATAAGCTACTGGAATTCTACACACTAGGAATACTCCAGTGTGTTAAAATATTTACAATTTTTTTTCTGCAGTCCAGGATTTGAGAACATCTTAATCTCAATGCACAATCCAATTGTACTGCAAACTGTACCTCCTTTTGTATTACCCAATGGCTAGTTCCTTTTTTGTCTCCATGGTAAAATATACTATCATTTTGTAATGATGTAACAAGACAAAATGTCTAACCTGCTATTAAGAGGGTTGTTGGAACAAGGGAACAGTCACCTAGGGATTTTTTTGTCAATCAGTAACTACGCTATGGTGATTCTGTGATTTGATTACTTGTTTAAGTACACATGCTTTATTAAAGTAGTTATATTTTTTCCTGTAGTGCATTTCCCATGTAATTAAAGGTTTGTTGTTGTTACTAAGTAAAAAGTTTAACCTATGCGTTTTTTTAGGAGTTCACAGTTAACACTTACCTGGGGACTTTTCTGTAGTATTTACAATATAAAAATTTGAGTCATGCGTTCAGTAAATATTGCATGCCTGGTAATGCCCAAGCATTAAAACCCCATGTTAGAATAACAACAAAAACTTAGCTGGGGACTCTAGAAAATGTGTGGCCCTTCATAAATATTCCTGCATGCATCTACTGCATATTTTTCCTCAAAATCTAACATGCAACACCTGAACTTTCAGGACTCATGCTCTGCTTTCTCCTCTATATTCCTTATTCTTCAAAGTAATCTCCCACAGTGTAGAACTCAGTCACTGTACCATTTCTCTCGTTTGTACTTGCAGACTTTAGTGATGGGTTGACAATCATTGTCCTAATTCCAATCTTCAAATACAATCACAGTTCCACTATACTTTAAATTTTGTCCTAACTTCTTGCCAAACTCTTCCAGATTTCTCTTTGTCAAATGAGTTTCCTTTGTCGTCACTGTCCATGTTTACATTTTTGATTAGTTCTCTAGAATCTTACAAGGCATCTTCCCAGAAGACAATCCTTTCCTTTGCTGTCCTCTCTGTATTCTGTCACCTGGGAGAGCCCAATGTTCATCTCTAGTGTTTTGAGCAGGATCTATGCACAGGTGGTTCCGAGTGTACAGAGCACTCAAAGGTGTACGACACTTCTCCAAGCAGCAATCCAAGGAGGGAAACCAGTTTTGAGCAAATTCATAAACAGAATGAAGACTAAGCAAAAAAAAAAAAAAAAGTCCAAAATAAGTTAGCCTTCCTTCGCATGTTCATAATCTCCTTTTTGTTTTTTTTTTAAGATTTATTTATTCTTATTGGAAAGGCACATATATGGAGAGGAGAGACAGAGACAAAGATCTTCCATCTGCTGGTTCACTCCCCAAATGGTCTCAATGTTCAGGTCTGAGCCAATCTAAAGCCAGGAGCCAGAAGCCTTCTCTGGGGGTGAAGGGTCCCAAGGCATTGGGTCATCCTTTGCTGCTTTCTCAGGATACAAGCAAGGAGCTGCATGGGAAGTGGAACAGCCAGGACAGAAAGCAACACCCATATGAGATGCCAGTCTCGGAGGTAGAGGATTAGCCAGTTGAGCCCTTAAGGCATTGGTCCTTCTGGTTTCTTATTCATAGTAAAAATGAACTACCGTGCATTCAGAAAATATAAAACAATTAACTTTTCAGGGTTTTTATTTGTTAAAATAATCACATCTGTAGAAATGAAATGAATTTACCATATGCATTCACTGGTGGCGGCTCTTGCCGTCATGTGGCATCCAGGATCCTGGCTGGAAGGTTTTGCCGGTGCTGGTGGGAGCCACGGAGGGCTCTTCCTTCCCGAAGAAGGGAGCAGAGGCATGCCCTTTAATCTGAGTTTGAACAGGTGGGGCCAGGAGTTCCTCACTAGTCGCTTCACTAGCGAGTCTTTCTTGTTCATAAAAATCTTGGTTTTTGATTTTCATTTCTTCTCTATATTTTTCATTTTTCAATATTTCCTGCATGATATATAAATGGGAGATGTTACTCAATTTCTAGCAAAACTTCCCAAAGTACAGACTTATGAAAATAAAAGTCAAGAAAGAGCAAACTATACATTATATAATGTTCATGGTATTTCCCTTGCATTGAAATGTTAGCTATACAGAGTGTAAGTTTGAAAACCAGTTTGGTTCCTCATCTTATGCTATAATTGACACCAAAGGTCACAAAAGAGAAATACTTACTACTCCCAAACTGAAACTATTTAGATGTAAAATACTGTACAAGAGCCCATGCCATCCCATCACAGATTCCCCAAGCTTGATAACCATTTCCCACTTTAAAACTCTTCATCAGAAACTGTACTCCTCTCCTGGAGAGGACAAGATGGTGGGATGGCCTTAGAAAGTTTCTCTGTGGCATTACAATGTAATGCTCAGGCTGCCCTCGAGCACCAGCACCCAGCCCCCGGACTCCCCTTTGCCCTCACAGAGCACTGTGGTAGGAGGAGGACAGCAGTGGGGGTGGGTGGGTCAGTAGACCTGCACCAGCAGCTCAGAGAGGCACAGACTCTGGGATGACTTCAATCAAGCCGATGCAAACCACTTGTGAAATGCAGTGCCCTCCCTCCGAGTTGCTCCTCCTTTGAGAAGAGTCTACTCCCCAAATTATAATGAATCTACTGCTGCACTTCACTGAATGAAAGACCATCACATTTAAGGGGCCTCATGGTATGTGCCACTACAAAGAAAGGCAATTAAAATCCATACACACCCTGCTGTCAGTGATGTTAAGATGTGAAGGGCTGTGCATCTTAAAAATGAAAAGACAAATAGTAATTACATCTTTCTTTTGTTTCCTTCCTGTTTTCTCTAGCCCTGAGGATTACTTCTAAGTGGATGAAAGTTTTAATATTCTCCTTGCTTATCTATGTTTTCTGGTTCTTCTTTAAGATCATGAAGGGGTCTCAACAGAATCACATGAAAAATGGAATTAAAAACTTTTTGTCTGATGAGCTCTTTGAAACTCTTGTCATTTATAATACAAAAAATAAGAATGTTAACATAATTGATTGATAGCTGACAACACTGACAAAAATACATGTTCAAGTTCTTGCTAAATTTCAGCACATTAGGAAATGACACATAAAGGGCAACAGCTGGGTGTGATGCAATGTTTCTGTTTCTAAAGTGAATTTTAAATAACACAGCCCCTTTAAAAAAGATATGCAGTAATATTCTCTCTCTCTCTCTCTCTCTCACACACACACACACACACAGAGTTAAAGGTCAGCATGGTGCAGTAGGGATTAATCACTGCTTGTAATACTACATCCCATATTGGAGTGCTGTTATCATCTCTGCTGCTCTACTTTCACTCCACTTTCCTGCTGATGTGCTGGAAAAGCAAAAGATGGCCCCTGGAGTTGAGCCCCTACCTACCTGGCAGTTATGAATGGAGTTCTGCCTTTGGCCTGGCCTAGTCATGGCAACTGAGGTTATTTGGTAAATAGAAGATATCTCTCCTTCTCCCTCTTTTGGTCATTTTGTTTTTAAAAAAATAAGATTTAAAACATTGTTGTATTTAAAGAAGAAGAAGAGGGTTTTTCAATTAAGTATTATGTTACACACAATTAGAGGTGAATAGGGGTCTAACTAATGAAATTTGTCCCTCAGAGCAAACGTGTGGCAGGAAAACATTATTTGTAAGTGCTGTAGGTTTCATCAGCAGAGCAATTCCTTAAGTAGTTGACTGTAATAACAACAGCAACTGTGGGTGTCGGGGACAGTTGCTGCCCCTTTGGATGAAAACTGAAGTTCAGACTGTGCCTTTCTTAAGCAGATTTCCTACATGAGGTGACAGATGATCAAGTTTTCCACACCACACTGGAAATACTGGAAGTAGGCAAAAACACATTGTCACATCTCCACGCTCTTGCAGTTGCTGTGTCTTCAGGCAAGAATGACAAGACCAGGTTAGACATGTTGCTGGCAGGTGACTCAGGAGGGTGGGCACCTGCCTGGTAGTGAAGATGCCTGCATCCCATAGTAGAGGGCCTTGTTCCCAGTCCTGGCCCTGCATCCCACAGCAGAGGGCCTCGCTCCCAGTCCTGGCCCTGCTCACAGGATAGATGATGCTGGGAAGCAGCAGTGATGGCTCAAATAGTTGGGTTTCTGCCACTCACATGGGAAACTTGTATGAAATTCCGGGTGACTGACATCAGGCCCTGTGAGGCCAATGCAGGCATGGATTCACTTCCCAATTCTCTCTGCTGCTCAAATAAATGAATATTTTTTAAAAGAAGCTGGTAAAGGAGTTATTGGCTTGGGTGTAACAGGGAAGTCACATCATCTGAAGCTGTGCCCATGCCCACTTATTGCCTTCACCTGTGCTACAGCAGCCTTGCAGCTGGGATGTGCCTTATAAACAGAAGGAAAGGGTGGGCACACAGTTTTCTTCTTCTGTTGCAGAATTTTTCTTCACTCAACATTATGTGTATAACTCAGTCTCTTCCTTTGTAACAGCTGCTTAGTCAAAGAAAAGTCAACCTAAGGAGTGTAGTGGGCCAAGTTGCTGCTTGCAATGCTGGCATCACATATGGGTGCTGGTTTCTGTCCTGACTGCAGCATTTCTGATCCAGTTTCCTGCTCAAGGCCTGGGAAAAGCAGTGGAAGATGGCACAGGGACAAGGATTCCTGCTACACACACGGGACACTGGGAAGAAGCACCTGGCTCCTGGCTTTGGAATAGCTCAGCCCTGGCCATTGTGGCCATTGTGGTCAACTGGGCAGTGAACCAGTGGACAGAAGATCTCTAATCAGTGGATGGATGGAGATCTTTCTCTTTCTCTCTCCCCTCCTCCGTAATCTCTAACTCTGACATTCAAATAAGTGAGTCAGCTTCTAAAGAAAAAAAATTTTTAAAGAATGTATGTAGCTATATTTACATAAAAAAGCAGTAAGTTGAAAAATATGGAGACCATACTATTTTCTAGAGAATTATCTCCTTTTGTTAAAACAAAACAAAACAAAACAAATTGTTACCAGGCAGAAATTCCAGATAGCAATTCCAGGAAAATTAAACAACACAAATCATTTATGAAAGGAAGTCTAATTTTGTAAATATTTAGAACTGACAAAATGAACACAGCCAGGTGCAAATAATAATTGCAGACGTTAGACACAAACAGAAACCATCTCTTAGGAAAGTCTATCAAGCAAGCTTTTTTTTTTCTTTACAATTCCTTGGAACAATATCCTCTTAAGCTTCACTGTGTTTATCAATGAGCAGTTTCAGCACGTGTGTAGTAGTGATAAACCGAGAGCAAAGGGGTCTCTCTTCACATCACTGTTTGCATTTTTAAAACAAGTGTGGTCTTCTTCCTGTCGGGTAATACAGGATGCACTGGTGCGTAGGTCTGGGGAACCCTAGATGAGGATAGCAACCTCACTAAGCTCAAGGGATGGAGATGGCTGTTTAGAGAGGCTGGGGCATCTGGAGTGCTGGGAGGACCCTCAGTAGACACAGAGTTCTGGAATCTACATAGGGTCCATTTGAGTATTCAGCGGAATGTGTATATATATGTGGGTTGTGTGTGTGTGTGTACATACAACATATATTTAAATGTGGGTGTTTTTCCTTCACAAGGCTAGGAAAGGCAAAATAATACTGCGGGTAAACAAATAATGCAGCATGCTCTGAACTAAAAGACATTCAGGTTCTAACCAGCCTATGACACCTCACTGAATTACTGGGGCATTTGGCAAAAAATGACTTCAGAAAGGCCACTCCGTTGAAATAGGGCTAAGTTGGTGTGAGACCCTACAGAGCACACTAGGTTTGTCCTGTCTAATACAGCAGCCACCTCCACATGCAACTTACATATACATGATATTTCAGTGTTTACCATGTGACCAGGAAGTGAAGAACAGGAAATTGAGATCCCACATGAGCTAACAGAAACAGACCAAGACATAGCAGAAATAACCAAACCAAAAATTGGGACTTCAGTGCAACTACTACAAAAATGGCTAACTATAAATGATTATAAAGAAGAAAGAAATAGAAAGCCATTTAAAAAATTGTGCTGCTCAACAAAATAATCCTCCACCTGCTAACACCAACATCCCATACGATTGCTGGTCTGTGTCCTGGTTGCTGCACTTCCCATCCAACTTACTGGTTAAGGAGTGGGAAAGCAATGGAAGATGGCTCAACTCCTTGGGTCCCTGTACCCAAGTGGGAGACCTTGTCCAAGCTTTTGGCTCCTGACTTGGGACCACCCAATTCTGACAGTTGCAGCCCCTTGGGGAGTGAATCAGCAGATGGAAGATCTTCTGTCTCTCCTTTTCTCTGTAAATCTGCTTTCCAATGAAAATAAATAAATCTTCACATGGTAATTCTGTAGGTGAAAAATGTTTTTCAATTATGAAGTGAAAATATTTAATAGAATGCTTTACAGAAAATTAGACACTGTGAAGGAAAAGAATTAAATCTGAAAATGAGGCAATGGAAAATAGCAATCTGAAACCAGAAGACTTTCAGAAGCTTTACAAATGAAGAGTCTCCATGGTCTGAGGGACATCAAGTGGCCTAACATACTGGCAGTTGCGGTCACAGGAGAGGGAAGAGGACCAGAAGTAGTACAAACAGATAAAAATAGAAACCTGCAAGTCCAAGCACTTCAACCAACTCCAAACTTATCATATCAAAATCAAATTGTTAAAATCCAATAGTAACACACACACACACACACACACACACACACACACACACACACACACAAAACACCTACCCAGTGAACACACATTTTTTATTTAAAGATCTATTTTTATTATTTTTTTTATTGGAAAGGTGGATATACAGAGAGGAGAGACAGAGAGGAAGATCTTCCGTCCAATGATTCACTCCCCAAGTGAGCGCAACGGCTTGACTGCTTTTCCCGGGCCACAGGCAGGGAGCTGGAAAGGAAGCGGGGCTGCCGGGATAGAACCGGCGCCCATATGGGATCCCGGGT